ATAGATACTATTTATACAGTTAAGAATGAAGCCAAATAAAAGACTGCTGACTTTATATATTTAGTTATAAAAATTACAAATCACAGAAAGAGTTCCACTGGATGAGGTTAATTCTGCAGATCTTTAGCAGGCAAATTCACAACCTGGAGAGCTGATAATCCATGACCTCCTTAGAAATAAAACGTATATTTCTTGTGTAATAGTGTAAAATAGCTAATTTTTAGATTTATGAAATCTAATATGCTAAAATTCTCAGCTGACATGAACCAGTGAATCTGTGCTGGTTTATATGAGCTGAAAATGAGACATTGTGTCTCAAATACTGTTTGGTTGTAACTTTTGGAATAATCAGTATATACATTTATGAATAACATGCTTCTCAACACTTTGGTCAGTGTTTGGTAGTAAGGATGGTTTGAGTGATGAGTATTTTACTGAATTGGGAAAATATTTTCTGTGACCATTATTAATACATGTACTTCTTTGCTGAATTTACTTTTGTTTCTATTAAAAATTCTAAAGGCTATTGACTTGTACTGTGAGTCTTTCCCACCCTATTCTTTATTGCAATCTCTCAGACACATATTTGAGGTAGGAATAATATTTTAATGAGTAAATTCATAAAACCACATAATGGAATTCTTACTTAACACAGGCAAAAACTGGAGATACAGTACATGGGCTATAAGCCAGGCCACTACTTGAATATTTTTTCTTCTAAGAAATTTGGCTTTAGCACATGTGATTTCCCAAGCCTCAGTGACAAGATGACAGACATTTGTAGTTCTTAATTATTTGTAAACCATATTAATGATACTTAGAAAGTGCAGTTATTAGAAAAGAATTAAGAATAACCATCCATCTGTATTACTACAGTTTCTGAACAAGATGTTCAAATAGAAGAGTTTCTGAGATTCTATTTTAAACCTGGTGACCACATATACTTATATACTTGTGTATTATATTTTAAGGAGTTTTTTAATGATTTTTCTTTCAGTGCAGTTTAAGGGAAATAACAGTTCCCTTCAGTATGTCATATTTAATCTGTTTTAACATGATACCATTTCAAAAGTGGTCCAAAAGAAGAAAAAAGTGCAATATTAACGGACTATAGAAAGATGCGCTATACACTGCAATATAGATTGATTACAATAGTATGTTTATTGTGGATGATTCAAAGACTTAGTTTCTAAAACAAATAAGAAAAAGAAAAATAGTAAAATCATTGCTATATATTATGCCTATTGAAATAACATATATTTGCTTCATATCTATGCACTTCCACTAGCCCAGTGGAAGAAGAAAATGTGCAAAGCACTCTTAAGTGAGCTATTCCAAATGAAATTACATTGTTGCATACAGTTACAGTTTAACTATAATAAATACCCTGTTAATTGATATTAACATATTCATTAATATTCTCTTTGCTGGTAAATATGAAATAAAGCTAAACTTCTTGTTAACGTGAAGTTTGCAGTGAAGCTGACCACCAATAAAACTATCTATCTGTAAGGGTTCAAGATGCGTTGATATAAGATCATATTCAGATTATCAACATATTCAAGATTGTGATATATGAAAGAAATTCTTGTAGGATAAGGTCAGGGTCAATTAGGCTATAAGTCTTCAGTGTGTTGCATGCTCCTTCACAGAGGTTCTTTGGCTTCATTGGGGCTCAGACCAGAAATGGATAGGAAGTAGGAAAGGGATGGGTCCCTGCAGGTGTTGTAGACTGCTAGGACTCATGTTTTAGAATTAAATCCATCCAGGGCTGATGACTGCTATAGGACAAGTACACTATCTAAAACTTCCAGATAGAACTCTAAATAATGCATTTGTGCTATGCTACCTTTTCATACAGGGGAAAATTTAATTACTTGGAATGTAAAAAACATGTCATGGCTCATCCATTTGCACAGAAGCAACTAATTTTGGATAAGTTTCTAACTCCATCTCCTTAGAATGGACAGAAATCATGCTTATTTTCATCAGTCATTTTTATATTGACCATAAAGAGTCTGATCATGTGCGGTGCTGACTTACATTGTCATGCTCGTTGTCAATGAGCAGCTGACGAGGCTGCTGATTGTCTTACATTAATCACTTTGACTCCTTTGAAGCAATAGAATCTGATTAAAAGAAATAGTTACTGCAGAGTTTAACATCATTATTCTTTCACTTTTGCAATGAGTGGTTTTGCAAACCTTCCCTAAAATGTACTTCAGAATGTCAGTAAATGCAAAATTAATTTGAAGAGGCCAGCAGATATTGCCCAAATTTTTCATCCATACCAATTTAAACTAAATTCTAAAGACTAACACTCTTCCCTTCCCCCAAAGAAGAACAAGAGATTAATTTCTTAAAATTATTGCTATATTTAGCAGCTCATAACATCACCAACATCCACACTTCTGTGATTTAGATTTAATACAAATATTTCAAAATACCAGATCTGAAAAATGCTCTCCATTTTTATTACAGGCCTATTCAATAAAATATATAACTTTGGTATAATATGTTTTATTGCATATAGCAAACCATTTTCATTATCATCAAAAATATATTTTAGCACTTGTGAATTACAGGGGACTTTAGTTCCTCAGATAACCCACAATATTAGATACAGTATCTTGAACCAGCTCATAAATATGTAGACATGATAAATGTACATTTTCTGTTGGAAATGGCAAGTGAAAGATCTCTGAAAATTCTAAATTTACTAATGATTAAGCTACTTACACTATCTTTACGCTACTTTATTAGATGCATTATAAGACATTATTTTCATTGAAAATATGCTTTAAATAAGGCAAGTTTTGTAAGATTTTAAATAGTGTTTTTTCTTACATGAAAAACTTCTTTTCTTATAAGGTGCCTCCCTTGCTATTCTGAAATCACTACACACAAAGCAATAAAATTACAGAGCTAAGCATCCTCCAAGGATGAAACCATAGTGAAGAAAGCTGTGATATACTTTATGCTGTTAGCCATGTTGTAGCATATTGCATCATATGATGATACCACAATAGAAGAGAGCTGGTTATTTACACAGTGGTTCTGACTGGCAGATGTAAACAAAGATGAGTCAAGCACCTCGGCAATGCATTGACTTGCTAGTTCATCTCCAGGGTTTTACAATGTTGTTCATTAGTTCTGTTGTCAACTTGACATGAGGCACCTATTTTTAAGGTAAAAGAAACTGGTCAGTTGACAAAGTGTCAGTGGGGGTTTCAAGTAAATATGAATCTACTCCCTTTTAGTTTATTATTAAGTCAAGGGTACATTGATGTATGATCCAACAAAGATGAAATGCTCTTAGATTTGTATGCAGTCTAAGGAATTATATGACATCGAGTGACTGTTGGTTTCTAAGACATATAGGCTCAAGAAAATCTCCAGTACAGCAAGTAATAATTTAAAGGAACTGTTTAGGTAAGTCCATGTTTTAATATAGATTAACAGAAGTCTGATGGTTTTTTCAGAAACTCTTAGTTCAGTTGAAATGATTGGAATTGGCTTGGAAAAGCTCAGTGTACTTGAACATCAGTGTAGGTGTGAACACTTGAGCATTAAAAGCTATGACAGTTGGAGCACCTTTCCAGAACAAAATGCTCCTTCTTTTTAAGGTCAATTTGAGGGTGAATCCTATTGTTGTGAATTGCTTTTCTCCACCGGTGGACTTCATTATAAACAGAGTTTCACTGTTGCAGGAGACAGCCTGTCTAGCTATCCTTCCTCACTTCACAGTATGCTTCTCCTCACTGAAGAGGTGCCTGCTGTCTGTGGAAGGTCCACATAACAGGTCCTGTCCTGAGAGTTACATGTTCCTCCTTGTACCAGGGACATAAGTAGGATCTTCTCTTTTCCATTATTTAAAGGCGTCTAATTGTTCTAGGTTATTACACTACGTTCATCATTGTGGTAAACACCTAATTATTATTTCAAAAAGCTTATCTGTGGCAGATTACAAAATAACCTAAGTCTCAGGCTATTATCAGGAGATCAAGTTGAGAAAGATGTTAAATGCTCATCCTGTAAATATTTCTCATTTTGCAGGCTTTCATGAGGTCAAGATTCCACTAACCAGACAAAACTGTCATCCTCACCCGCTGTTCCTCTTAAATGCATTGATCTTCTTCTCACAGAAGTTTAGAACTACAAGTGAGAAATAACGGTCCTTCCTCGTTTGTGTTTCTAGGAGGTGTTTCCCCAGAAACTCCTCTGGGGCACTTCGTGATTTTGTGAATTACTGTCTTATCAGAAAGAATGATGGTTTATATTTCTCTTCCCAACCCTCCTACACATTTTCATGCCCAAATGGCTTGAGCTGATGAATCATGGCTCTCTTCTTTCCTTGCTGTTTATCCTCCTGCCCTTGCACCTTTGAAGATAATCAGTCACGTATATTTCTCCTCCTAAAAGCTATTTTAAAATTGAGAACTCATTTGAGAATGCCATTCCTAGGAGGGCTGGCAAGGTTTAATCTCCAAAATATGAATAATCGTGTCCATGTTAGGAGCAAAGCAACCCTAATGAATTTTCAATTACTTTGATTTCTCACCTCACATTTCCTAATATCTTGCATAAAGGTCTGATTTAATCTTTTAAAAGAAGTTCTCAGAGGTTTGAGAATCAGGAGCATAACCTGGCCAGAAGAAGCAGGCAGAAATTGGTAGGAATAGTTTTGTGATTTCTTTTATTGAGACAGACAATGTGGATACTTTCATTTCAATCTCCTTCTAGTTGTTTATCTCCATTTAAGGAAAAAAAAAAAGTATCCATGCATAATTTTGTAATTCCCTCACTGTGTTGTTATAAGAGAGCTATACCCTTGTATGATAGGATCTGTATGTCAAGGCTCTGTAACTTCAGTTCCCAAATACCATGCAAGGAATTTGATCAAATGCTTTCAGTGTAGAAGAGATATTTCACCTTAATATTTAACAGTAGGTCTAATAAAACAGATACTTTATGCGGATGCTGTTGAGCGACAATAAGGTTCCCATTTTCAGACAGAGTCCACTTTCACTTGATTGTTGTTTGTAATCAATGGAGAAGGTTTACTTTTCATCCTGTCTCCCACATCATTAGAACTATCCTGGAAAAAAACTTTTGCTGTACAAAAAGTGACAATAATTCTCTTGTATTCTCTTCTGAAGTTCTGGTTCAGGAGTCCATATATGATAGCATTAAGGCAGCTGTTGAAATATGCCATGTAATAACTGGATACAAACAACCACTCTGGAATCCTAGGGATTACAGTTTCTGGGTTGACAGCCACAGCAAGGCCTATAAAGTTCAAAGGAGCCCAGCAGACTGCAAACAGCACAAATACCACAAACATGGTTACAAAGTTTCTGAAGTCATGTGGTTTTAGCCTGGGGTTGTTATCTGGTTTAACCCTTCGCCTTACCTGAATAACGAGGATCCATATTCTCAAGTAACAGAAAGTAACTATGGCTATGGGAAGCAGGAAATGGAAAAACACAACTGCTATTGTATATGCTGAGCTCACAGATTGTGCAAATGTACATGAGTAAATCCTGGGGTCATATTGTAGTGATCCCACAAACAGGTTGGGCACAATAGCAACAAATGTTAGGACCCAGATAAGAACAACATAGCACAATGAATTCTTGTCACTGTACAGCTTGTCATATTTGAGACTGTGACAGATATAGCAGTACCGATTGATAGCGATGCCTGTAATATTGAAGATAGATCCAATGACACTTAGGCCCATCAAGAAGCCACTAATCTGGCAGTGAAGGTATCCCAGGTTCCATCCGTTGTGAAATACAGATGTGAGGACCAGTGGATATGGGTAGATTGCTACAACCAAGTCTGCAACTGCCAGGCTTACAACAAACACATTTCCTGTAAAATAAATATAAAAAGGCAAGTATTAGTTTCTCTTTTGCTCTTTTCTGTCACTTCTGCTCTCAATAAATTAATGAGCAGCCTTAATGGAACACTTTAAATGTAATTAGTTTCTACTTTCTAGATCAAAATCCATTGTCATATATCAGAAAAAAGACACTCATTTTTAATCTAAAAAGGAAGTAGCTTAACTTAAAGATGCACCTTTTAAAAGAAAACTGTCTTTGAGTTTAATTACCATGACCTAATATTTTTATCATCTCATTTATTTGGATTCTTCCAATCACACAGACTCACAATTCATAACTTTAAACTTTGCTTTGGTTTTAAATAGATAGTCTCTTGAAAAATCAGCAAAATAATACGATTACTAATACATATCAGAACTCACATTTACCTTCCATATTTAATTTAATTTCTTTTCCTTACATTATCCGTGAAATTTTCCATTCCTGAAATGAAAATCTTTTTTTCCCCATTTCTATTTCCAGCTTTCATGACTGTAACATGACTTTTAAAGTGACCCTTTTTGAATCTGCTGGCTAGCACTGTCCTGGTGTTGGCTGGGACAGAGTTAATTTTCTTTCTAGTAGCTGGTATGGTGTTACCCTTTGGGTTCAGTATGAGAAGAATGTTAATAACACACTGATGTTTTCAGTTGTTGCTAAGTAATGTTCAGTCTAAAGTCAAGGATTTTTCAGCTTCTCATGCCCAGCCAACAAGAAGGCTGGAGAGGCACAAGAAGCTGGGAGGGGACACAGCCAGGGCAGCTGACCCAAAGTGCCCAACAGGGTATTCCATACCATGGGACGTCACATCTAGTATATAAACTGGGGGGAGTGGGGCTGGAAGGGATCGCTGCTCGGGGACTAACTGGGTGTTAGTCGGTGGGTGGTGAGCAATCACATTGTGCATCACTTGTTTTGTATATTCCAATTCTTTTATTATTATCATTATAATTTTATTATTGTTATTATCATTATTAGTTTCTTCCTTTCTGTTCTATTAAACCATTCTTATCTCAACCCACAAGTTTTACTTTTTTTCTGATTCTCTCCCACTGGGTTGTGGGGGGAAGAGAGTGGGCTGCTGCATGCTACTTAGCTTAGTTGCTGGCTGGGGTTAAACCACGACAAGCACTTAACTAAACTTCTCAAGAGTCTAGCTGAAAGGAGGCTTAGCTGTCTTTCCTAAGTATGAGAGACATACTCTTCAGTAAAAGACGTGATGCCGGGCAGTGACCTAGACAGTTCCCAGTCACTATTGATGCCAAATTCTTCTCTGCCTCCAAACTGGAAAATTAAGCAATGATCTATTCTCTTGGTTCATCTTTTAATTAAAATAAAGGGAGATTATTTTAGACTGTGTTAATTCTTGATAGAACCCCTCTCTGTTCTTCAAAGACAATGGAACCCATCATAACTAGATGTTTTGAATTAATCTTTTGAGCATAATTATATATTCTTTCTTTAGTTGCTTAAATGATAACTCATCTGAATGCCTCAGAACCATTCCAGTTTCTAAGAAGAAGGTCACAAGATACATTGATATAGCTTTTATTAATTTTTTAAAAATAACTACTACATGTATTGGTCTAGTTATTCATGTCCATATCTACAGAAAGCTATAAATATGTATATATACATGTGTGTAGATTTCTAAATGCACGTGTATGCATGTATACATAGGTGTGTGTGCGTCTGAGATTATATTTTGGAATTCTGAGATTAGACACTGAAGTTGAAATACGAGCTTCTATTGCAACCTATAAGAAAATATACTGCTAGTTTTAGATGATGTAGAATTTCATTATTAATCCAAAGTGGGTTTGGTGGACTGTTTTATGCATTTATTTTGAGTAGATAAAATACAAATAGATAAAAATAGGTTAAAAGAAAAGGTAAAAGTATTTATGAACCAATAGGGCATTTTAGCTGTTATGATTCTCAAAACTATTTTATTAATATATTATCTCAAACATCTTAAAATGCATATTTTCTCATTAATCTCATGCTTTAAATTGCCAGGTAAAAATATTAAATCTGCAAACATCTACAGAAAAAACACAGAAATTATCTGGCTCAGGATGCTACTTACTCTCTTTTGTTTAAATTTTGATACATGCACAAAGTACCACATTTGATATTTATACTAATAGAAGCTGAGAGAAATGGCCTCAGTTAAAAGATTGCTACACTAGTTTTCATAGATTTTGCATCTGCATTTATAGATAACTTTCACTTGATAGTGTCTGTAGTGTTTTCTTCTTTTGCCTGGGAATTCACTGCCAGACTGAAATATGCTTATCCTGAAGGCTTTGGCAGAATTCCAGATCATTTCAGCACAAACAGCAGAGCTCCTTTAAGCAAAAGAAGACAAGGGAAAAAACCCATTGCTTTCAGAATTTACCCTTGACATAGTGGTGAGCTATACAAGAATGGATAAAGAGACTATATGAAACTCAGGCCTCTGTGTTTATCTTCTGACTCAAGAAGTGGAAAGTGAATGAAAAGTTGCTGTTGGCAGGTTTTTTTTCCCTGCCCAGAATACTGCAGGCTTGATGAAACGGCACCATATAAACTCCAGATGGGACAAAGAACCAGGACACTTATTTAAACCTAATACTTAAAATAATCCTATTTATATTTGGTTATAAATTTTCTGCTTAGCTGGAGACTGCCCATCCCAAGCTTCCCTCTCTGCCATCCACTGAAACTTCTTCTGGTGCTCTCCATTAATATCGCTAATATTACCATTATTTACCCTCTTGAGCCAAAAGATTCAGCTATAAGAACAAAGTTAAAAGTGTGGATGGCTGTTCCCTTTGTTGAAAGAAGACAGGTGGTATATTTTCTCTGAATAGTTTTAGCAGTGTCGTGCTTTGGAGACAACTGAGTCTGGGAAGAGTAGGAGCTCTATCTCTGAATCAGCCAAATTTCAGGCTTCCATAAACTGATGCACCATGGTTGTCCCAGCTTATCTTCTCAGTAGGCTGCTATAGAGCGACAAACTGAAAGTCTTGGAAATACAAGCTGTTTCATATGGAAATTGGAGGCTAGCAGGATATCCTGGGTGGGAGCTTGTCTTTTTAAAAAAATCATGAGCTTGGAAACCAAGTCCCAGGCTGGCAGCTCACGGTTAGCATGTCAGCTGGATGACCAAAGCATTGGGCTAGAAACTGCCTGGAAACCAGCTACCTGCTTGCAGAGAGGACTTTTAACCTGCCTTTCAGGAAGGGTTATCTTCAAACTTGAGTTCAGATACATTTTCCTTGTGAGCACAGAAACTTTGTCATTAAGATAGAATAGAAAATTCAAGTAAAAATGTATTTGGGATTAGTATGTTTGTTGTATATTTTGAGGGTCATTGTTTCAGACTCTGAAGGCAGATCTGAAATGATGTTGAGCTTTCATATGTTATATAATATACATTTAAAAATATGATCTTAGATTTAGGCACCCACCATTAGAGGAAATTATTACTATTTTATGAAATTCCCATATATTTAATGGTATATTGTGAAATTAAACTCATGTTTGTGGAACACTTGGTATTATAGAGGTGCGTACCTTAAAAAAAGATACAAGAAAAAAATAATTTTTATCTTCAGAGTTGGGTTTGAATAGAATGCTGTAAACAAAGACTGACGCTCCATATCGAACCCTTTAAAAAAGCCACAAAATCAAAATCTTATAACTCTTCCTTGAACAAAAAGTATTCATTCTCATTAGAGAGTGAGATCACATTGCTGTGAAAAAATGTGATTTATGTAACGAAAGAATGCATTACTGTGCATTAATACCAGTTGGCTGAACCAAGAAGGTAGAGGTTGAATTTCTTGACTTTGACATAAGTCAAATAAGCTTTAATAAATTTAAGCAGATGTTGTGCTACGGATGTATGTGGGAAGAAAGATAATCTTCTTTCTTAAGGTAACCAGCTTTAGCAGGCTATGCTTTTAGATGCTGTCTAAAGCAATGTTCCATTAAATATTTTCACCACCCTTATGGAAAAAGATGCCTTTCTACTCAGCAAACACATAGCAACCTCAGACCTACCTGCTGAATAAAAAACTGCATTAAAGCAACAGAAAAAAAACAAGCGCTCTCCTAGAAAATTTGACTTTTCCAAGAACAAAATACAACATAAACTGAGTGTAAAATCTGTGACCCTGACAGATTATAAAAAAACAATGCTTATGGGATTAATTGTCATGATGTCAAAATGAATATATAGAGTATCTAAGAACTACATGATGTAGTTGTATCAGTAGCAACTTGTATCTGCATAACATACAAATTACTATGTGGGTTGTCATTCCCTAGATTTAGTGCTAAGTATGTCCTGAAGTTTTTGGGAATTAGAAAGTTTCCAGAAATTTCTAGCAACTTAAATAAGTGCAGAATATCAATGGAAAAAAATTACAGTTACTTAGTCTAAGTGGTGCTGAATGCTTCCCATAGACTTTGACTGGAGGGCTGAGCACTTTGCCAGCACATCAAAAAGGACTAATTCTTTCTGCAATTTTAGGAGAACTGAGAGATGTGGTCTACAGAGCTCTTTCCTCAAGTGCTGAGACTTTGAAGTATTTTAACTCTTGTAAAACTTCTAGCCTGGGAAAAAAAATATATTGTAAAAAAGGGAAACAGCTTATCTATGGAACAAAATAAGAGTGTTTTAAAGTATTAAGGACTCCAGCTAGTTTTTTGGTACTAAGGAAATCTGAATGAATTTTAGAGATGTAATTTTGCTGGCAACATTGGTAAGGCTACTATTTCTCCTCCTTTTATTCCAAGATATTTCTGCAGCTTTTAATACTTGTTGCTACGTTACTATTTTTATGCACCTATTTCAAATTATTTCCTGTGTAGATAATGTATTGGCTTCTTACAACAAATGCTTTCCAGACACCATCGTATTTTCATCATGTTGCTAGATTTTAAAGTATATAACATTACGTTTCCTGTTTATGCATTAGCGCTTCAGGTTGCACCAAA